TATGTGGCGAACCTGTTCTCTTCATCCGAAAGGAATCCATTCAGATTGCGCTGGCAGATAATCATCAGCCTTTTCTGTGCAGTTTTGTAACGAATTCCGCGCTTTCCCAGGCCTTTGGTTGTTTTTCTCTTCCATTGCTCCAAGCAGTTATGACGCGCTACCTCACCAACAATGTGAATCAAACGAGTTCACAGCACACTTTGAAGAATATCTTAGCATATTTAATGGCCTGGAAGGTTCTAGAGAACCGTTAATCTATTAATGGCCGGCTGTTTCATTTTGGAACCGTCCAATAGATGCGATCAAAATGTGCAAATAAAACTCTCTATGGCAGCAATGGCAACAAATGCCTGTCGAAGTCGCACAGTTATATTATATGAATAATAATCGCACAATCCTTTGGCGAGTCCTTGATCGCAGGCAAACATATTTATGCATACTTATTACGCATTGTTTTTCTCTATTAGGTTCCGCCTGATCATCTAAAGCGAATATTGCCAGCCCCGCAGACAATTAACTGCTAGCATTTACGTAATGTGGTCAAACGTGTAAAGGAAAGTCGTATTAGAGCAATTAAAATTAAATAGCAATTTTCAGTTCCTGCAAGGTTATTGATCAAGTTTTTGACTGCGGTGAATCGTCTGGCTGCTTTGGGATGATAACAATGTGTGGCGTTATAAAACATTTCAAACAAAACATGTCAGCATTTGTGGTTAGTTTTCAAAGTGTACTCTTCAAAGTAATAGCTGGAGAAGGTCCGCATAGACATCCTTCTCTCAACTATTCAGCGAGAAAGGTTCATTTGCCCTTAATCGTAGACGCGAGGGCGAACAATTCTTGGAAACAATGAAGACTGATGTTGTAAAAAGGGGTTATGTAGGTTGAACAGTGTTCATATCATTGCTATAAATTGAAATTGAGTTGAAACAAATTGCATCAAACAATTTCCTTACGGAGGTTTAAGTGAAGGATCGAACTTTTGTTGGTTTAATCGGGTGGTGTTTTGAGGCCACGTACCGATCAGGCATTGTTCCAAACCTGGACGAGATCCAAAAGCGGAAAAGTGGCAGTAAAACGTGTCGGTGCAGTCGCACACGTCCAATTATCCACACGAATTCCATCGCAACCAACGTCCGGTGCGGTTCAGGCAAATGATGATAAAAATGTCGCTGCTGCTCATAATGAATTCCGCTCTGGGCCCCAATCCATTAAGCAAGAACCTGCTTTTGCATATAAAGGTATAAAAAATAATTGTGAGCAAAGCGCGCCCGTTCGGGCAAATATGCCGTTCGGATTCGGGAAAAATTCACCGATCTGAATGTCTTGATTGGCCGCTGCTGCAGCCTTCACGGTTTCGTGCATTTTCCCAGCCGTGAAAAGTGCTTTTGCCTCGATTCGCTACATTGCTGCCCATTAATTTAGCCCGAAACTCGTTCAAGGAATTCCTGCTGTTTCTAGATTCTAGAATAGCATCGCTGTTGCCAAACTCATGCAACATTGGACATCAACATACCCCCAAACGTCATTTGGGGGAATTAGTCAATTGTTTAATGTGGGGTGGGAAACACAGTGCGCGTCACGCTCCGTCAAAACATCGAAAATTTGCATCTTCCGGGTGAAATTCGCGGATTTCCGCGAAGCGGAATTTCCCGTCTATGCCTTGAAGGAATTTTCCCTTCTGAAAGTGGAATTTTCGCGAAAAAACGCGACTTTCCCAACTGGGGTCCGTCTGACGTTTGCTGTCATCCAAACCGCCCATACTTGACAGCGATCAAATCCGAGCAGCGTTGCCTTTAAACGGGCCTGGAATGGACGTCACCGTCAAGCAAATTAAACTGCGTCCTAATCCAGAAAATTTCAATGACTTTGCAACACTGTCTTTAGGTAAGTAGGTATACAATTTTTCACTTTTTCTCTGCCTAAACTGATCAAATATTTACCTCAAATCGTCGGTTTTTATCTCCAGACTGATCACCATAGCGAAAGGAATAATCGTCAGCAATCATGGGAGCTGGAAGCGATTCAGCAAATGGGTAATCGAAACGGTTTTTCCACTTGGCCAAGACAAAACCGCAAGGACAAGTTTTTCAATCGTGCTCAATGCGATATTGTATTGACAATTAATTTTTTAATTGCCCGAACTAATCGGTTTGATGAGTCCGATACTACCGGAGATTTGTTCACGTCGTTGAGTCGCAGATTTCCGATATTTTCAATTAATTCAAAAAATTGTCGCTCCCAAACTAGAAGAGATAGAAGCGCGTTTTTTTGCCCCAACATGAGCAAGAGCCCTATTAAGATGCTGGGTGAGTAAGGCTTCAATCGGGCCACTAATAAATTTTTGAGGAATTTTCAAACTTTTAAGTTTAATTTTTTGTGCTTCAACCCGAAATTAAAAATTTCTTGCTCCCAAACTACAAGAGATAGAATCACGATTTCTGTCCTCAATATGAGGAAGAGTCTTGTTAACATGTTCGATGAGTTTGATTTCTATCGGGGTACTGAGCGGATTTTGAGGAATTTTCAAAATTGAAAGTTGGGTTTTTATGCCTCAGTTTGCAATTTAAAAAATCGTTGCTCTCAAATTAGAAGGGATCAAAGCGGTTTTTTTGCCTCAACATGGGGAAGAGTCCTATCAAGATTCTCTGCCAGTTTGGTTTAATTCTGGAAACTCAGAAGTCTTTGAGAAATTTTCAAAATTTCAACTGGTGTTTTTGATGTCTCAGTTCGGAATTCAGAAATTTGTCGTTGCCAAACCAGAAGAAATATAATCCCGGTTTAATGCTTCAATATTAAGAAGAGTCTTGTCAAGATCGTTGGTAAGTTTGGAGTCAATCTGGCCACTATGACCTTTTGGAAAAATTAAAAATTTTAAGTGATGTTTTTATACCTCAGTTAGGAATTCAAAGATTCTTCGCTTCCAAACTAAAAGAAATGGAAGCACGAATTTTTCTTCAACCTTACGAAGAGTCTTCATAAGCAGCAGGAGACTTTTTGATAAGGAATTCCAATAAGATGTTTATAAAGTTTGGGACTAAGCCACTTCAAACTCAAAACTTGGCAAAATTCTCTCAGCGACCAGATCAAAACGAAACTTGTCTGGTATTGTAATAAAACTCTTTCGTATATTTCGGAGGAAAATCACCCGCTTCTGTCCTCTGGTTTGTAAGAAACGCATTTTTGAATTCTGGCTGTCAAAAATCAGCTTAAAAGTGTGAAAATTTCTCAAAATCCTCTTTGTCCTTCGATTAAAACTAAACTCACTGAGCATCTCAATAAGTCTCTTTCTCATTTTGAGAAAAAAAATCGCACTTTTGTCTTTTTTAGTTTGGGAGCAACAAATTTTCCAATTTTGGACTGTCTCAGGAAATCAACTTGCAACTTTGAAAATTTCTCAATATATCCTCAGTGACCGAATTGAAACGAAACTCATAGGATAAAAATAACGCTTCTAGCTCTTCTAGTTTGAGACCCACGAATTTTTAAATTCCGGACACTAAAACACAATTTAAAATGCTTAAAATTTTTCAAAAGCTACTTAGGAGCTCGATTGAAATCATCTCCACAAGACCTGTTTTCATGCTAAGACGAAACAGAGCTGCCTCTATGCCTGGTTTGAGCCTGAAGAATTTTTGAGTTCCAAACTGAGGTACAAAAAACTGAACTTAAATTATAGAAAATTTTTCAAAAAACTCATAGTTTTTCCGATTAAAACCAAACTCGTCAAACATCTCGATAAAACTCTTCCTCGTGCTGAGAAAAAAAATCGCGCTTCTATCTACTCTAGTTTGGAGCGGCGATTTTTTAAATTCCGGGCTGAGGCACCAAAAATACGACTTAACATTCTGAATGTGTCTCAAAGTCCTCTCAGGGGCCCGATTGATACCAAACTCACCGCGCATTACTGGAAGACTTTTTTTGAAAAAATAACTCACGTTAGTTATAAAACATAAATTTCTTGCTGCATCTGTAGCTTGTTGAAAGCCGATTATTATCAACCTCTAATGGACAGTCCGCCACATCCTTCGGGTCTCAATTAAGTCGTTAGGCAAGGTGTTCAATGGCACGTATCATGGACACGAATAAAACAAAACAATTTATGTAATTGAACCGTAGGAGAAACGATTTTAATCCGTATTGGCTTGTAAGTCAAGAGTGAAACCGGCACAGAGTAGGGCATTAGGAGAAAGAATGAAGAATACGGTTTTGGTCGTGAAGAATTCAATTTTCTCCCAGCGATGTTTACACGCTTTTTCCAATGGCAATGGGATGTGGTCATGAATCACCTTCAATGTGGTATTCAAATTGGATAAACAATGAGAAAAAAAGGATGGGCCTACGTCCATTTAAGAGCGGCTAATGGTTAATGTAACGTGCGACAACTCGGTCAACTAGTCTCGGTCGCAAGGAACTTGTTACATTAATAATTGATGAGATGAATTTCAGTCTTCAGCTTGCTTCAGCTGCACTTTGTGACGATTTCTGCTCTTTGCATACAACATGCTGGATGTCTGATGAATGAATTCAGCTGCAGCACGCTGCAGCGTCCATCTCAGCCGATCAAGAAATACAGTTAAGCCATTGGTGGGCTGACCCTAAATTCTTCGGGCCGGAAAACTCGTTTCGACTTTTTGAAAATCTGTTGCTTTATGGCGCGGTTCTACACTACTTTCGAAGATGGACATCGGTAACAGTACCTAATATCAGGGGCGAATATATTAAGCCATATTGAACCCAAACTGTTCGTCTTGGTACTGTTAGAGCTGGATAAGGAGTTGCGTTTTCTAGGTCTCTGTGCCATTTGTTTAAGGAGCGCTCTACTTTATCCTAACTGTTTCAAGCAATTCGAAATTACTAATCAGGGCTAGGAACTTTCCATGGATTCAAGCGGTTAATTGGGTACTCCTATGGGAAATGGTGCAAAGTGAGAGGAGATCAACAAATACCGTCTTGTATCAATCGGAATCTTGAAAGGCAAACTGGTTCTCTGGCCGCTATTTTTACTCTCGCACACCCAATTAGCAGCACATCGTTGATTGATGTTGCTGATTTCATTTTGTTTGGCTCTTGATCCAAACCATAGGATTCGGTCAATTTGGTAGTTTCATATTTTTGTTCATTAAAGGCGCTGCAACACGCACCTGAAGAAGCCGGTGATGGGCAGGCGATTCCATTCGCAGCTATCTAACATCGGCTATTTCCTTCTTTGATCGCTAAATTATGTGTTAAACGCCTTCGGGTGGCCTCTGTGCGCCTACCGGCTTTGCATGATTCGCATTCTGACAACGTTTTTGATTTCCACTTAAAAATCGTGCTAATCTGCTGAGAATTCCGCGCATTTAAATTTTTTCTTAGATGAAAATCCACGGTTTTTTTAGCTCTCTAATCTGCATATATAGAGTGTTTGCGTCTTTAATAGGAAAAATATCGGAATATTGAAAGTTGGTGTTTGAGCCACGAATTTTTATCCGGACTGAGACACAATTTAAAAATTTGTCGCTCTCAAACATGCATGTGTATTAACATGCTCGATGAGTTTCGAGTAATCGCGCCTCTAGGAAGCGTGTGATAAATTTTCAAAGTTTCAAGTGTTATTAATGCTTCAATCCGGGATTCAAAAATTTCTCACTCCGGAACCAGAAGAGATTGAAGCGCGCTTTTTTCTTCTCCTTTCTTTCTTTCTCGCGATTTCTCCAACATGAGGAAGGGTTCTGTTAAGATTCCGGGTTTGTTTGGTTTCAATCGGGCCACTAACGAATTTTGGAAGAATTTTTAAAGTCAGTTTCCGGTGCCTCAATGCGGAGTTCAAAAATTCGTCACTCCCAAACTAGAAGACATTAAAGCGCGCTTTTTTACTCCAACATGAGGAAGAGTCTTGTTAAGATGCTCGGTTTGTTTGGTATCAACCGGAGCACTAACAGATTTTGGAGGAATTTCAAAGTATCAAATTCCATTTTTGGAGTTTTGGTGACTTAGGAATTCAAAAATTTGTGGCTCCCAAACTAGAAGAAATTGAACCGCGCTTTTTTACCCCAACAGAAGAAAACGATTTATTTAGACACTCTGTGAGTTTGGATTCAATTGAGTCACTAAGAGGTTTTTAAGCAATTTTCCAGTAGAAACTTTTGTGCCTCAGTCCTGAATTTAAAAAATTGTCACTCCCAAATTAGAAAAGATCAAACGCAGGGACTTTTTCAAGCGACTTCTTAAGATACTAGGTGAGCGTGCTTTCAATGGCGCAATTAATAGACTTGTGAGGAATTTTCAGAATTTCACTCTACATTTTTTGTGCGTCTGCCCGGAATTCAAAAATCCGTCGCTTCCAAACCAGAGGAGGTAAAATCGTGATTTTTCCTCCACATGTGGAAGAGCCTTTTTTCACTTCCAATTTTGTTTGAATCGAGCATTTCAAACCTCCTTGACACTCCGAAAACACTATCACTACTCTGCAGTAGAAAGCGCAACCATAAACAACTGCAAGCCACCGATTAGCTTGACTTTCCTTTCGCTTATGGTATGGCCATTAAGACGATAATCATCCAGCTCAACCTTCAGCGCTTAGTAATTAGTAGGAAGTGTTTCAAACTCACCCTTCTTGGCATCAGCGCGCCTCTTCAGAAAATAGAGAACGCCTCCAACCAGCAACAGTGTGAACAAAAAGGTCAGCACTATTGCTGTGGCCAAAGAGCCAGGTCCATAGCAGATGGGGGCGGCCTGCTCTTGAGCCTGGACAGTGCTGAGCAGCACCGCCAAAACTCCAACTAGTCGCAGATTGTGGGCCATTTTCGAGTTTCTACGGCTCAGCGCAGTAGCTTTTCATATTAGCGACGATGCTGGCGCTCCATTGCCAACATTGGTCTGGAAGATAAGCTATTTTATTAACTGCAGATAAGGACGGAGCTTGAATTCGAGCGGATCAGTTAAAGGATATACAAAGAAGCACATGCTTGAGCATGCTTCTTAATGGCTTTAGTGCCACTTAGCTCCATATGAAAGTGACACAGCTGAAGAATGCAAGTGTTGCAACCCAAGGCATATGGCTGGACTAGGCAGAGACGGCGTCAGCAATTTATTTGAAATCCTGCCAAGTTTACCAGATCCTGCCGGTGCCAGCCAAATAAAATACGCTCTTCTGAAGCGATTGAAGATATAACTTTAGGGCGATTGGCCGAAGAAGCGTGCAAGGAGCGCAATGGGAATTAATCAACCTGATGGTTTTTCTACACCAATGCGCCAATCGCCAAGCAGAAAAACGCCAATTATGTTGTCTATTGGAGCTTTCAAGGCCCCTTTGAGCACAGCAATTTAACGACAAATATTTGCACTTAAGCAACATACAATTTAAATATTTGCCGGCATTTTCTGGGCCAGCAGAGAGTTTCAATGGGACCACGTATTTTTCGATATTTTCACTCTCCCTGTAGGCAACAGGTAGTTTCGCGGTTGTAATCAGAAATATGTAGATTTTCCTTATCAGCCAGTTGATGTTTGGAGACAAAGTGTTCTCGTTTGCGGCCTCGGATTAGTTCAATCCTAAAAATAACGCATTGTACTCAAATAAATTTGAGAAACAACAGGCCAGATTATAATCGGGTCCTAATCTAATCAATTTTAAGCGTTGAGAGCGCCAGCAAAACGCGCTTGAATCTACAGTTTATGATACATTCGATGCAGCTTCATTGATGGTACCTACCTAGATCACGTGCTTAATCCAATTAGGCTTCACAACTCAGATCAACATGCACCACATTGGCTTCTGCCACTCACTATTCACGTGAAAATCCAGAAAGCCACTCACCAACACGTACAAAATCTGGCACCCAAAAACTTTCGAAAATCTGAAACAGCGCGCGTCCACTACACCAACTGAATTGAATGTTTACGAGCGGGTTTCTTCGAATACCGAAAGTGGTTCGCAGTGGTACTGCCGACCGTCTTTACCTGGCGTTCTCTGATACAGGTGGAAAAGTGGTACCGTAGTGTCGTACCAATCAACAGGTGTGCCACAACTATGCGGCCTACCGGGGTAAACTRAAAAGGAACCCGCTTTTGCGGGTTCTCAAGTGATTTATCGCGGCGAAAATCCTCATTTTAGCAAAAGCGTAGAAAAGCGATTTGTTTTCGCAGTARACATGACAATGGAATGTTCTAAACTGAGTGYTCTTAAGCAACATGCAAAAAGTGGCCTATTTTATTTGAGTTTTCGACACTACACAAGGAATAGTGGATGTTTCTAGTTTCTTCTAAAGCTAGTTTCAACTGTGCAAAACTTAAAAATGTGAACTTTTTGCGCATAAGATTTTTGGCTGGAAACGACTTGAATAATTTAATGAAACTTCACAGATCGCATCGAACACCCTGTATATATCAGGAGCTAAATTTATGCTTCAGATGCAAAGAAAAATTGCTTTAAGTCGCAGTTTTGCGCAAAACCATTGACCCCCGATTTGATTGAAAACAAGGGCGGATCCAGGAGGGGGTCATGGGGGTCATGACCCCCCCCATGCAATTCTCTATCCAATGATGCCAAAACGAATTCTCTGGCTCGAATGGTTCTTGAGAAACTTCGAAAAAA